CTAAACTGTGGCGCAAAGTAATGATACAGACCAACGAGTTGCCAACAGATCAGGGAGCAGTGTTTTGTAGGCATGAAGGGGAAGGAAGTGTTTATACTACCCACAATAATCCATCAGGGCTCACTGGCAGTGCCACCTTTCTCATGCTAATTCACCTGCTGGCTCAACTGGTGAGCCTACCACTGAGCATTGGGCTGCTGTAGCGCACACTGGGCTGCTTCCTGAAAAAACTTCAGCCGGGCACCAGATTTATGCTTGAGAAGCTCCTGTCAGCTGCATAACCCCTTCCGGCAAGTGGTTCCCAAAGGACAGGCTGCCCTAGCAGTTTTGAGAGAAGAGGAGCAAGCCTAGGCAAGGAGCCAGGTGGCAAGTAGGGGCTAGCTAGGAGCCAAGGGAAATCCTTCTTTTGATCCAAACTCAACCATTTCTTGGGTTGACTGGGGCCTCACCTGACCCCTCACATCACCACAAAAGCCTCCAATGCAGAAGCAGCTTAGCCAGGAAGACAAGAAGTGGCTCAATTTATGTCAGCAAGGAAAGGGCGAGAGTTTGCTGGATTCATCCTGTCCAAAAGATGATGTTCTCAGTATCAAAGGGAGGCATCAGCTGAGAACATCAGTGATATGCTCTGAAAAATTGCACCCCATGAGATTCAAAGGGAAAGGAGACAGCAGCTGATAATCTTTCAAGAGAGCATTTTCCTAGTTTTCTCTTGCTAGGAGCTCTTGCTGGTCAAATGGCTTCTTTGCTTGTCCTTATGTATTAATAGTACAAACAATGAACTGAGAAACAATAGGCTGGTTTGCACACCATCATAAGCCACCCTGAGAATAAAGCACTATGAGCTGGCTTTTTTGATCACTAAGCCTCAGTGGTGCTAACAGATGATCGTCCTCTCCAAGGTCTATCGTGGCTTGTTTCTCACACCTATACCCCACCTGTAGCTCTTGTGACTTTGGGATACAATTCCTCCATATTCTGGCAATGAATAGAGTCTCTCCTGCACCAACTTTCTTGCTTTCTAAATTACCTGCATTGATCCCTATATGCCATATCTTTTGAGTAGAGGAAAGGAGCTTGACTTACCTTTTAGGATGAGTTTTTATTTATTCATTTAATATCTTTGAAAGCCTCATTGGCTACTCCTCACAGCTATTCCTCTTCCTAGCACAGCTATGCCTGTAGGTATGATTTACTTACCACTGGGAAAGCACATGGGCACCCAGTTCAGGACTACAGTGATTTGGGAGGGAAGCTCCCCCACTGTGTTTCATACTAAATGCACCCCCACCCCAGCTTAAAAAGAAAAACAAAGAGTTTTTTTTTACACAGTTGGTAATTTCCTTTCTTTTTCTTCCAGAGTAAGGGTTTTCCATGTGAGCCTTAAGGTCACACATTTTACCCAAGGTCACACAGAATCACCAGTAGAGGTGCTGCTATCAAGAAGTCCATAAATACTTCATTCACACAAATTTATTTATTTGACTTGTATCTCATCTTCCTACCCAGAATGGCATTCAGTGATGCTTACAATGGCTAATAAAACTTGCTTTTATTAGCGACTTTTAAAATAATTTAAAAGACATTACAAAAAAATAAAATCAATTAAAAACACAAAAACATTCCCTGATGTAGACGTGGAAGCGGTGACTGAGAGCAGATTGTTAAGCCAGTAAATATTGAATACCAAGCATTCTGAATTATAGGAATATACTGAAGACTGTCTTTAGTGTTTTCTGAACAAGGCTGATCTTGCTCTTTTTTCCTTTTGTTACAGTAAAAACTCTTCAGTTCCCATACCATCTTCTCAACAAGCACCAAGACAGAAACAAACATGATCTGCATGTCCTTATCTTCCCTCGATTCTGCTTCCTCTTATTGCAGGCAACAGCACTTCAAAGAACAACACGAACAAAATGCACTATTGGCCCAAGTTCTGTTGTCGGTCTGATAGAGCTGGGACATTCCCAGTCATGACAAAGCATGAAGAAACTCTCTCAGAGAGGTCCATGTGAACCAGAGAACAGGGACACAGTGAATTGTTACACTAGAGGTAGACATATGTTAGGCTTCCAGAATCTACTTTGCTACTTACTAAAATGACAGGTCTACCAACTGGAGTCAGGTGCAAAATCAGCCCAGGGCTGATAGCCACCTATTAGAATTAAAGAAATGAATACTTCTAGGTACATGGTCCAGGACAATAATTTGTATCAGGAGTTAATTAACAGTCCTTCCCTGGCTTCCCTGCAAGCTTTCTTCATTCCAGAAGCTAATCTGGGGGGAAGGGGATTCCCTTTGTTTTGTTGTTCTCAAACAGGGAATCAGAAACTGTCTGCAAATCATCCTGGGATCTAGCAGTGGATCCCAACCCAACTTCTGACCATGCAACTGATTGCCAAAGAGCACCCTTAAGTTCAGCAGCTACAGAGCATCTGTACATGAATTTCATCCTCTTCATCAAATCAAAAATCCCATTATAGATGAATCTTTGAAAAGCAAAATAGCACCCTCAGTGGAAAATATGCCATAAATTATACTGTTTATTCTCCTGCCCCTTCTGTATGTACTCATTAGCAAACATTTAAAAAAGAAAATTCATGAGAAATGATGTGTCTGCTTCACTGATTGCAATAATGCTTTGGACTCCATCTGGCACCCAGGCTGAACCTTAAATTGCTACACAAAGCAACTGGGGTGGGAATATATGACCTGATTAAATCTATGCATCAACCCATCAAATGCAGGATAAAAATAAACAGGCAAACTGAGGTGCCCAAACAGGCGTAAAGGAGTTATTCAGGGATGCATCTTTACTCATCCCTGTTCTCCATCTAGCCACAAACTCCAATCCATCTGCATTAAGACTTCACTTACACTTCCTTATATATGTTTCTACAGTCATCATTTTTCAGAAGACAGCAAGTAAATGCATTGCAGTATTATAGCCGTACAAGTCAGGTGAGAAGAATCATACAAGGTGATTATCTGGGATTGGAGAACTTCTTTAGGATAAACCCTGAGGAACCCTAATACTGATAACTCTCTACCGGTAGTTCTTATGCAAATAATGCATTCTATTGTAGAGTACAGGTACAGAGCTTTATAGAGGTTTGTATCCTTACAGTCCCTAGATTAATTCCCATGTAGGTGAATTGGATGGAAGACACTTTCAAAAGATCTCAACAGCATTTTTCCTGTGAAGAATTTAACTAATTAGTTGTACTTATTTGTGTGTCTGTTTTACATTCAGATAGTTTATTTGACATTTCCTGGTATATTTCTTGCTACATCCAAAAATGAGAGCATAAACACATTTGGTGGCTTTGGGATGTCTGTCAGAAGTTAAAATTGTGTGTGCATGATGTTTTCTTAAAGCCAATTTGTGAAGCTTATAACTCACAAATATCTGAATATGAAAGCAATAGTATTACCAAATTAATATTTTGTACATTCTCAATAGGTTTAATTTCCCTTTATCTCTGCTGGTTCATAAACTATCAGAAAACATTATCAAGCCTCTTTCAATGCGGGAGAAAAGACAAGCATTTTTTAAAAAGTAAGAGTCTGGATCTTGCAATCTGTTAAGGAATTGCCCCTCTTCAAAGGCTCAGCTAAACTCCTTGCTACCAGACCTGACCACAGGCATGGGATCAGCAGAGCTATTATACTCAGTACCCCGGAGAGAGCATCAAAAGCTCTTGAGAGATATTCCTAGGGTAAAAAAAGAAGTAGCACATAGGGAGCTGCCTTTATTGAGTCAGTCTCTGCTTCCATCAAGCCCAGCTGCAACTCTCTGGGATTTTAGGCAACAGATTTCCCAACCCTACTTGGAGACTCCAAGGATCAAACCAGGTTCTTCTGCATACCCAGTAGGTGGTCTGCCACTGAACTATGGCTTAGCAGAGTCACTGATAGCTACACGTAGTCACAGGAGAAGCAAAACCTGCATTCTTGCATGCATAAAAACAAACACCCCAAAGATAGCTGTGCTGGTCCATGATGAAAAGAATCCAAAATCTGCAGGTAGGCCATTCTTTTATTGGGATAAAACAAAATACACAAAGGTGCACAAGCTTTCTATGTTTCTGTGATAGCCATGTCCAAAACCCATAAGACTAAATTAAAAGAGTTTAAATTTATATATTCTTTATATAAATTTATTCTTTCTGCACCAGCTAAAACCTTTTTATTTTCCCCAATATTTTAAGGTTTGACTGTTGTTTTAATATGCATTTTATTGTTCGAAATTGGTTAGGATGCTGTGTTTTATTCTATCTTTTGTCTTACTGTTAAACCATCCTGAGACTATGGTAAGGGGCAGTCTAAAAAGTTTTAAATAAATAAATATAACAGACAGACAGAATACTTTTTTCAAATGTTATAATTTTAGAACTCTCTGATATTGAAATTTTGGTCACTGTACAAAGCAATATAGCAACCCATTTTCAAACTGAGGAAGTTACTGGAATCTTCCTTTTCAAATTACTTCCTATTTTGTCTAGTTACACTTTCTCCCTTGGTTCAATTTAATTTATATTTTGCTACTGCAGCCTAAAAAATAAATCCACAACAATTAGTAGCTTGTAAACATTTACTAGCCCACCTGCTGATGCTTATTAATGATAGCCATTTATAGTGCATCAGTAAGCTTTGGCCATGGGGGCAGAAATGTGCTAATCAAACTTTAAAAATACAGAGGAGACTCCCAGACTTAAATAAAGAATTTAAGACAATTAGTTATGTTGTACAGAAAGAAGCTCATGGGTCTCAGAATGCAAAGTAGGTATTCCAGAGCTGCATGTGTAAGACCTTTCATCCTGAGAAATACCTGTTGCAGAAATGTTTGCAAATAGGACTGAGAGATGGCAATGCAAATGCAACTTCTGATAAAAGGTGTAATCACACATACAAAGCAAACTTTGGAGAACCTAAAATCCAAAACAAAGCACCTTATTTCCATCCACCACTGGCCAATATGTAACCATACAGATTCTGACCTTATAGATTTTGATTCAAGTAGTCATGTTCCTTAAAGACAATCTCTTTAGCTGTTGACAAGAGGAAATTCAGCAGGTGAGGTCCCTTCCCTGATCATAGCTGCATGTTGTGGAAAACTGCCTCTTGGATTTTTTTTTTTTTTTGCTTATCATGCAACCAGTTTAAGGCATGAAACAAACAGGTACCAATGCACATGACAAGCAGTTCAGTTCATCTCTGGAACTGACCGACAAAAGAAACTTTGAGGTCAGGAAAAACCTGTTTCCAGTATATATTAAGCAGATTCATTCTTCACTCTGAGGACACTCCCAATTCTATGACTGTTAAAAAGTGGGAATGGATGAATGGGTCACTCATATATTCAACCCAGTTTTTCTTCTTTCTTCTGAATTACCCAAGAGAGGGACAGGCTAGACAACTCTAAAAGGAAACTCGTTTGAGGGGAAGATTACATCTGTCCCTAGAACAGATGCCAAGGGACCTGCTTCTTCCAGATAACCTTGGAAGGAGACGATTTGCAGAACTTTGTAAGCATATTTTGGCAGGAATTCCCAGCCTGTTACTGTGATAAGTTTGTTCATTTCTTTTTTAGCTCACCATCCTACAGTGCACTTGTGCTGCTCTCTGTCTCTCTCTAGGGGATGAGAAGAACGCAACAGGCCCCTACAATTCCAGCAAGTAAATATAATGTAGTTGGTGAAACCCAAAATGTGGGACCTGGGCTGTGATGGTGGTGGGAACTTCCCTCTTCCCCAGAACATGCACAGAATGCAACAGGTGATGGCAGGGATTCATACTTGCAGGCAAGGGCTAGAGCACTCAGGAAGGCCACCTTATGGGAGCCGGCAGTAGAGGAAGACATGTCAAACGTTATTTCCTCAGGTCTCCATGCATAATCCGGCTTTAATGCCAACCTCCTGGCTTCATAAGGCAGGCAGCGAAGCAGCTAAGGAGCTTCTTCCCAGTGTGTGCATGAGCTGGCAGCCCCTTACCATTTTATGCATCTCCACCCTCACGAAAAAATACCCTGGCAGGGATGCCTGAGCCACACTGAGCCTGGCAATTCCTCACCTCCTGCTGTTGTCTCCCCGGGAGCCAACACAAAGAGGCTTTGAAAGAGAGCGGCTACCAGCTTTCATTGAGCCTCCGGAATTAACTTCTCCCCTTTCCCCCCTTGGTAAGTTGCTGTGGCAGCTGCAGCACCAGCACCAGCACTGGTACTGCTTTGCTGGATTCTCTTCTTTAAGACTCTCTCTCTCCCCCACTCCTTCTCCCCCCTCCCCCCCAGCAGACACACACACAGATTTACCAGTCCTTCCTCCCCTCCAAAAACCGCTCCCTTTGCCCAGTTTGGGGCTTTAGGAAAGATCTCCCACTGACCTGCTCTTGGGGGCAGGGAACCCCTTGGCTGCTCATCCCTGATATCTTGGGGCGTTGCTAGAGCAGTTGCTGTTTGCTGCTTTCTTCACATCCAACCCTGCTGCTACTGGGGCGATAATGTGCTTGTCTCTGGCTCATGAACTTGGCATTACTTTCAGTTCAGTTCCTCCAGCACCAGGCTGCCCCCGCCTGCCCAGTGCCCAGCACCGCCCTGCCCGGTGCCCATCAACATTCTGCGCCCAGCCACATGGTCCTACTGCTGCTATCTCCCTTCCCCATCTCCATCACGTCCACTGAGAGCAGGAAGCCTCGCACCCCGTCCACGGTCCTTTCCTCTGTCATGAGGACCCCATTCTCATGGGCAAGAGAGGGCTTCTCCCTACCAGTGCTAACCTAGGCAGGGAAAACTCCTATGGCCAAAGTATGCATCCCCTGGGAATTCTGCAACTGGATCCTCTGGTGTTTTGATTTTTACTTTACTTTTTTCAAATTGGATCAAAGCAGAAACACTGTGGCAGGGAGCCCTGAACCCATCTCTCACACAGTTTTCCTGATGGAAGTCACACACGTGCAAATTAAGTGCGAGAGAAAATGTATATCTTAAATGTGTAACATATAATTTGGGCTAGAAGAGATAAAAAGGAAGCTCAGATGGAGAAAAGGCAGTGTGATATCACGGCAAAGCACACACACTTCTAGCCGGTAGCATGCAGGATGGCCTCTTACTCTTTCTTAAAAAAGATGAAATGTATTATCAAAAGGAGAACAAAAAGATGCTAACTTCCATAAAAGCTTTATGCACTCATGTACAGATGTGAAATAATCACTCTCATATAAATAGAAATATAATCTATCCTACTATAGTGGGGAAGACTAACTGACCAAGTAGCCGGTGCGCCAGCTGACAGGTTCAAGGCCTGGGTAGCTCTTCTTAGGTTCCTTTATCCTTAAACTGGGACTGGACAGCCCTACAAATAAAGGGCTATTCTCTGTGAAGCATCAGCATTGTATACGGCCAGGGACAGTTTTATGTCTCATGCCAAGAATATGAAAAATGAATGGTGCCTACGTAGGAGTTTGTCCCCAGAGCATAGCTTATCCCATTGGCTTTCCAGGAGGCTGCACTGAGTTGTTCTCAAAAGGCACTGAAGCATCCCAATTTCCAAGGGTGTGGCTCATTTCTTCCCAGCTATGCCCCTGGCTACCTGGACAAACCACTGGTCCATCTAGTTCAGTACTGCCTGCAACAGCCTTCTCCAACCTGGAGCTCTCTAATTGCTTTGGACTTCAACTCCCATGCACCCTACCTAGCATGGCCAGGGGTCAGAGAATTGTGATTCAAACCATCCAGAGGGCACCAGGTTAAGGAAGTCTAGTCTACAATGAGTGGCAGAGTTTTCAAACAGGGACTGAACCTGGGACTTTTTGTATGTTAAGCCTAAGTGCCCCCACTGAGCTACAGCTCCCATCATCTTGCATGGAATGCAGGTTTGTGTGGTTAACAGCACTGGGGCAATCAGCACCCTCAGAAATAATGCCAAGCCTTACCTGAACTCTTCATGCCAATGTTGCAACTCTGACATGTGCAACCTCTCTCACGACAGCTGGAAGCTCAGTCGTAGAGAATCATAACTCTGTGATATATAGCTGAAGTTGTAAGCGGGACCTGTTCTTCCACTTTGCATCCAGCACGGGCTGAGCTATTTCCCATCATCCCAGCAAGCACACTGTGGTCAAAGAGCCAGCTCAGCCTGACCTCGTCCTAATGAGGCCTCATTAGCAGCATCCAGCTGTTGGCAGTCCCTCCCTCTCTGTTAGCTAGCATTGGGAGGGGGGCTCTGACTCAGTGATGGACTCCCACCCCACAGTGCCTGGGCAAGGAGCCGGGCACTAGGAAAGAACCGCAGCCAGGAAGGGCTCTGCCCACCCCTCTGCTTTGGCTATGATGGAGACTTTCTCCAAGCCAGCCCCTCCCTAACGCAGGCTTAGCGCCTGTGCAAGCAGCCAGGTCAGGCTCCCTGGAGACAGGAATACCTGGCACAGTTACAGCCTCACTGGATTCTGCAGAGACAAGCATCTTGGACCTGATCTGATTTCATAACAACTCATTCATGGCACTCACATTCCCCACTCCTCCTTGGGCTATTTAAGGCTTGGCCTGGTGCACCCTGGCCTCACAGGGACTTCTGCCTGCACACACCTGTTGCAGGGCATCCTGAAAAGACCCACCAGTCATGCAGATGAGCCATCGCTGCTGCTGCAGAGGCGGCTCAGAAAGCCCCACAACCTGCTTGGGGCTGTGGCTGAACCTGCTCACAGAGGCACCAGAGGCATAAATGTGCGAGAAAAGATTCAGTCATTTGGGAAGTTTACTTGTTCTTTGCTAAGCTCCCAAATGGCATCCATTTTGTGGTGCTGCCCAAGACAGTTTCTCAAATGTCTAGTACACCCCCCCCTTCCAAAAAAAGTTGCCTATCTCTGTTATGGCTCCTCTTTTCCTTAGGAATTGCCATAGCTCAGTTGTGGAGCACATGGCATTCCAGGCAGGACTGGGTAAAACTCTGACTTCCCCAGAATTATCTCAGTGGGAAAAGGAACCTATTCCTCAGCGCCATGTAATTTGACAGAGCCATCCCAGGCTGTTCTCCCTCCAGGGGCCAAGTCCTCCAGCTGCTCTCCCTTTCTCTTGACGCCATCACAGTCATTTCCATGGAAACCATCCATGAGGTCACTAGGCAGTGACTAGACCATCTGGTGACAATGATGCGCATCAGAGAGGAGGATGAGTGGAGATGGAACAGCAAATACTTGATTCCCCCCGCCCCCACTTGGGTTCCTTGGAAGAGCAGCAAGAACTTGATCCTTGGCCTCTTGGTGCTGCCTGCCTTGTCTTTCCTTTTTGGGATGCTTCTGCCCCTACTATTGCTCATGATAGAATTCTAAGCATCCCTGCCTCCTTACTATGGCTTCAAGCGCCCCAGCTGTTTCCTGAGCATCAACGTCCAAGGAGCCCAATGAGGCATGAATGAGACAGCAGAACATGGCAGCAAAGACTGGAAAAGGGGAAGGGGGGAGAGAACAGATGGGGTCTGTGGGCCTGCCATAGCTACACATGGACAGGGCATGGTAAAGCAATGAGCTGCCACTTGCTGTCACACGTGGGGGCAATCAGCACGCAAAACTAGCTTAGAACCAGTCTCCCATTCTGTAAAACCTACTCGCCACCACTGCTGCCAGAAAGGGGCATGCCAGCATTGAATTTTAATTCAGCCAGAAGGTGGAGCTAGACAAATCCCTATTGAAAGCAGGAGCAAATGCCTCCATCACTTTTCATACTTCATCATATGAAAAAAGAAAAATACAGTCCACAGAATGAAAATGCCTTCAGATACAAAGTGCAAAGCAGCATGCACAGGTGGACTTTTTAACATTTCGGAAATGCAGTTATCCTGCAGCCAAATGGCAAGGTGACACTATGTTAGGACCTTGGAGGCAGCAGCTTATTTTGGGGAATATTTATAACCACTATACAGAGGAAGCATGCCCAAATAGTTGAAACAATGCATGATCCTTGCATGGAAGGGCCACATAAATTCTGGATGAGTCACTCTAGAAGATTCCAACCAAATTATAAAATCTTGAGAAAAATGTAGTCATTCCTCCAAAAAATAAAAGAAAATAGGCAAAATTCTTTCTACTTAAAGCATTAATAACAAACATGAAGCGAGAAAGAGAGATGCATCTGATATTAACCAACTACAGAGATCTTCACATAAGAGTTTCACACAGGGTTTCAGGTTCCATCTAGTCCACTAAGGGCCAAGACATGAGGACTGAAGATTGGCCTGGGCCAAAAGCAAAGAATTCCCATGCACAGCAAAGAATTCCCATGCAAAAGTAGAAAAGGATCGGATCACAGTAGCTCATGCCTTAGTCCCATCTAGATGAGATTAGGGTAATGCCTGCACAGTACTGCCCTTGAAGAGTGGTCAGAAATACCAGCTGGTTCAAAATGCAGCAGCTAGACTTAACCAGAGCCAGGGATTTTGGAGCATGTGATTCCTCTTTTGTGCCAGCCAAAATGGCTAGCAACTTGTTACCAGGAGCAATCCAAAGTTGATTACCTTTCAAATGTCCGAAATGGTTTTAGGCCATGAGACCCAAAGGACTGAACCTGCTGCTCCCATATAAGTCTGTATTCAGTGGGACAGCCTATTCTTCATGTCCAATCACCTTCAGAAGTATAGCTGGCAGAAACAAGAGAAAGTGCATTTTTTGTTGTGGTGCCCAGGATATCCACCTTTCTTGCCTGAGATATTTTACTTGCACCCTGTTTATCTGTTTTTCATTTTAAAAGATTACATTTTAAAAGAATGCTTTGTTCCTGTGGGCTTTTTGACTGCTTTTTATGTGATAATTTTTTTTCTCCTGGAAATTGTTTTTGTAATTTTGCTGCTCTTTCTTTTTTGGGGTGGGGTTGTTTTTAAATTTTAACTTTTGTTTGTAATTCAATTCGTTAATCAAAATGTATTACATTATGAAATGGAAAGACAGGATACAGATTATGCCATAAGTCAAGCAAGCAAACAAAATAAATGTGGGCCACAGCTGAGTAAACAAACAAGAAAGCTTGGAATTTCAATTCACCTATTGCTATAGCCAGGCCTCAAATAAATCCCTCAGAAATCAAATGCCATCAGTGAACTGAAAATCTGGCTATAGTATCACCTGCATCATTAAAAGCACAAACCTAGGAAAACACAAAAAATCCTAAATCTCTCAGTA